CAATTTTTTTTCAAACATACCTTGGCCTTGTGATGAAATCAATTGAAGAACAAGAGGTCGTTTAGTAACCATACTTCCACCGCGAGGAAGAAAATCTCTATAAAGACAATGTTTATTTAAAAAATAAAAAAGAATGTATTAACATCTATACCGGCCAACAATATTTTCAAGTACTGAACTTTTACCAGCTGATTGAGCACCAACTACTACTATTTGTGGTAGTGACAATGTTAATTTTGCATTGGCAGTGGTAAATATTTGTTGAAGTTGATTGATCATTGGAATCAATAATTCCATATCTAACGAAAACAAACAAAAAAAATCATTTAAATAAATTCTCAAATTTTTGTTTTAATATAAACAAAATGATTTACTTGGATTGCCTGCTTGAGTCGCCATGGCTAATAAATCTGAAAATAAAATATTTCAATAAAATTTATATACAGATATATTTATAGTTATTTGAATAAAAATGATATTTTTGTTTTTGTTTTTTCTTTTATATTTATATACTTCTATTTATTTTCTTGCTTATCATAATGATAACAATGTAGATATATTTAGTGATTGAGTTAAGTTGTATGTTCTCACATGAAAAGAAAAAAGAAAGAGACTTCCGTTTCATACTGAGACAAGATTTAATCATGTGTTATCTTTTTTTTTCTGTTTATTTATTTAGTTATTGATTTTTCTTGAAAACCAATAGAACAAAAACTAAACAATCTAGATGGCGCCTGTGATAAAATACGAGTTAAATAGATAAGGAAATACTTGATGAATATGTAAATTGAAAAGTAAGATATCTAAAAGAGAAAATTAAATCATCATAATCTTTATGTTGTAAAAACAAAATAAAAAAATCAGAAGATCAAAAAAATACTTTCTAAAGTTTTCTTTTCTTATTCTAATTTTTCTGTTATTTAATGATAAAAATTTAAAATTTATCCTACGAATGACCAAGAATACGACGAGGTTGATATAATTCTTCTAAACTTTTGATTTCTTCATCGGAAAGTTTAATACTAGTTGCTGCAACAGCTTCTTCAAGTTGATACATTTTTGTAGCACCAATAATCGGTGCACATACACCAGGTTTTGATAAAATCCATGCAAGTGCAAGTTGAATTGGTTTAACTTGTTTTTTTTCTGCAACTGTTTTCAAACGTTCAACAATTTCAAAATCATTATCTGCATAATATAAATTATGACCATATTCATCTGTTTGTGCTCGTTTTGTAGCTGAAGTTGTTTCATTATTTTCTTTATTTAAATCAGTTTTACTTCGATTTCCTGCTAAAAACCCACGAGCAAATGGTGACCATGGAATAAGACCAACGCCTTGATCAATACATAATGGAATCATTTCACGTTCTTCTTCACGATAGATAAGCTTTCAAAAAAAAAAAAATAGAAACAAGAAAATTTGATTTCTATAATTTATATTTTAAATTACATTATAATGATTTTGCATGGAAATAAATTTTGTCCATCCTCTTTTTTCTGCTATATATTGAGCTTTAGCAAATTGCCAGGCATACATCGACGAAGCACCAATATAACGAACCTAATATTAGAAAAAAAAAACAAAATAATCTATATTTGATTTTCAATATGAATAAATACTTTGCCTGATCTAACAAGATCGTTTAAAGCTTCCATCGTTTCTTCTACAAATAGATATGATTAATGTAGAAAAAAAAATTAATTTGTTGTTACCAATAGGTGTTTGTTTATCGAAACGATGAATTTGATAAAGATCAATATAATCCATATTTAATCTTTTTAAACTAGCATCACATGCTTCAAAAATATGTTTACGACTAAGACCTGTACGATTTGGACCATCGACAACTGGATGAAATAGTTTAGTAGCTACAACAATTTCTTCTCGAACAGCCATATCATTTAAAGTTCGACCAGTAATTTCTTCACTGATACCCAATGAATACTAAATGGAATAAAATAAAAATAATTTTTTTTTGTAATAATGAATTTTCTACCATGTCAGCTGTATCAAAGAAATTAATTCCAAGTTCTAATGCTCGTTTCACAAATGGACGTGCTTCTTGTTCTTCAAGTACCCATTCACGCCATTTTTTTGATCCATAAGTCATCATACCCAAACAAATTCGTGAAACTTGCAAACCACTATTACCTAATCGTACATATGGTATGCCACTTTTTTTTCATACCTTCAACGACTGAGATCTTTTGATTGTCATTGGAAGCCATGTTAATACCGTAGATAAATTGTAACAAGAAAATAATATTCTAAAAAAAAAAACTCAATGAAAATAAGAAAGTACAGATATTTGTCATGTTATTCTTGTTAAAGAATTGTTTTTCGACGTGATACAAGGGGTAGTTTCATTGCTTTTTCTTTGTTTTTCTTTTCATTTGTGTCATTCTTCCTACAACCATGTTAGTAAACCTTTCTATTTGCTTTAGAAGAAAAGCATGCAATGAGAATATATGAAACGGAAATAAAAGCAGAAGAGATAGATGCCTAGAAGGAGTATATGTACTACCCTATTATTTGAAAACTTTCATCTCTACTCTGTAGAAACACGATAAATTACATTGTGTTTGCATGTTTCTTAAAACATCACTATCTATAGCCCGCCATACAACACGTTTAGTGCAAAGATAGTAAAATATAAAAGATAAACATGATGAGTCATACTTCTATAAATTACCCTCTATATCAACAATGTGTATCGAAATTGACGTGATAGTGCAATTGCAAACTATTACTGTATAATTTTTTTGTCAGACGATCAATTATGATATTTAGAAATAATGAAAGTTCTCTTTTCAAGGTCAAATTTTGATTTATTCTTGGTTTATTTATTGTTTTATTGAGTACTTTGTCCCTTTTACTTCTTCAATATATGACATTTTTTTTGAAGTACACCAATAGAAAATTAAAAATTACAATAATCGAAAGAAAAAAAAAAGAGAGAAACGCAGAAAAATTCGGAAAAAGAAACAGCTTATATCCTGAAAAAAAGGTGTGACTGTTATTTAGCATGTTAATGGTTTTAATGCTTTGGATCAAATATATCTTTGCAGTTAGTTACTTTCAATTATTTCGATAGACTTTTCTTTAACAAAACTTGATTTATTCTTTAAATTATATTCAACATTTTTTTTTCAAAGATCAAAAATTATTCTTGTCTATATTTGTTGGTATAATTTTACATATGATTCTTAATTCTTTTCACTTCGTCACACATATTCTTATGACCTTTCTAATTCTTCTTTTACGGTGCGAAGCAGTGTACAGAAGTCGGTTGCTAATCTTTTTTTCTCGACACAGAACTCGACATCATTATTTTGTGTCATGATGATCTAAAGACCGGAGGTGTAGGATTTTCATTCAAACGTTGTTACAGAATTCCATATTCCTACACAATCATGTGTTTTTTCGAAACTTCGATATGAAGTTCCATTCGCTCCGCAAAATGACGATTTTGAAGTGAGAACTGTGTGCTTTTTTTCAGCTAATGGAAAGGAGACTGGCGGTCATAAGGCAATATCAAAAACGAATTTCATTAGAAACAGTCATTAAATCAAATGTTGCTGGCATCTTTCGAAGTTTTCGTTATATCAAAGATCATCAACCGAAATTTAAAATGTATTCATCAATTTCGTGTCTTAAACGAAACTTAAATTATGATGACTACCCATGAATATAATTGATTTAATTTACTTTCTGGTTGACAAAAGTTGTTATGCATTCTTACAGGACGCATAATACTAGCTAAGTACATGTCTGTTTTTCATTGATTAGATGAAAACCAGATCATAGTTTTGTACTAATTCGGAAAGTATTTATCATGCATACGCTGACCAGAATGTGGGTGTGAGTGTGGATCTTTGCTTAAATTACAGTCACACTCTTTTATCGTCTAAAACCTATATCCCATTATACTTTTATTCGTCAATGATACTTTTATCATAGCAATAAAATCTTGACAAAAAATTATAATTCGTATAATGTTTTAGAACTTGTTTAGTATGGATAGAATAGATATAAAGAGTAAAGGGTATGTGGATTTGGATGTAGGTATGGGTGGGTGCAGATAAAATGAGACACCGACACCGACACCTGCACCCTCTCTTCCTTTGAAGTTCACGTTTCGATAAACATAAATGTTCGCTTGTTTCTTAAAATACGCGCTTTTTTTTACCCAAGTTCCGGTTTCTTTTCTGATCTCCACCACTGTTTACATGTTGAAACATGTGAGTTCGATAGAAGAGACACTAACTGTATTTCATCTAAGTGGCATTCAAAAATTCGTCTTCTAATTGAAAATTTCCAGATGAGGATATTATAAAAATGTTGAGCCTACCTCTGTAATGTAGCTAGGGGCTCAGACTACTCCTAGCCCAAAACCTAGGCTCTGCTACTAGTCTGTTCTAGAATCAAAACGGTTCGCCGTCTATGAATCTTTTATTCAATTAAAAATAGATGATGCCAGTTATCGAATGTAAAAAAATGGTTAGATTCTATGATGCTTCTACAGTGTTTTTTTCAATTATGGTAGTGTCAAATTCATAATAAACGGTCCAGACTTGAGTCTCCGTTTTCATTTATTTAGAGCTATCTAACTCTCCCTAGTCACTATTATATCATCACTCACTTGTCAATTGGATTACTATTGATTAGTTTTAAATTAATATCCAATACGCTGAGTAGACAAACAATTTTATATATCTTGCTTCTTCTTATTATTTATATTGAATAAAATTAATTTGATAACACAAATAATTGCATGTCAATCATATCGTTAAATTCTCGTTTAACATCTCTGATTGTTTTTATAAAACGTTCAGTAGTTATTGGATTTAGTTTTGATTTGGCAAATGAAATGAAAGTGTTGAATGACAATAAATAATTTAAAAAGGCACTTGAATTATTTGATAAATACAATTAAAATGATATTAAAACATTTTTGAATTTTATCATTACGCACGCTTTGAAAGCATGTGCTAATATGGAAGATCTTCAACGTGGCTCGACTATTCATCGTCTCATTTCATCATGTATAAAAGATGATTATTACATATCAGCATCATTAATTCATTTGTATAGTAAGTTTCAAAAAGAAATTGTTTTCTTTTTTTTTTCTTTTTGTCTAATATATAGTGCAGTGTGGTGATATAATAAATGCTCTATTATTATTCGATACAACAACAAAAAAAAACATTATCAATGTATAGAGCAATGATGAAAGGTAACAATTGTTATATTTCTAAGTATATTTAATCAGATATTTCTTAAAGGTTATATAAAAAATAATCAACCAAATAAAGCAATTGATCCTTTCAATGAAATTAAAAACCCTAATGAAATTATTATAAATCTTTTATTTAATGCTTGTGCTCAACAGAAGAATCATTAAATTTAGTAAAAAAAAGTTTCAGAAGAAATTCCAAAATCTTTTCATTCAGCTTTTCTTCTTTCAACTTCTCTATTTGATGCATTGATTAAATGTAGTGATTGTTCAAATGCAGAAATAGTTTTTACAAAAATAACAAAATCTATAACTCATTATGGAAATCTAATGAATGGATTTAATAAAGAAAATAATACTTTAAAAACATTAAATTTATTTAATCAAATGAAACTTGATGGTTTTGTATTAGATTTAATTATTTATCTTTGTGTTCTAAAGGCTTTATCGAAAATTGGTGATGAGTCAATATGTCAAAGTATAGTTAAACAAATTCCTTATTCTTTTCTTGTTGATAATAATATTCAAAATGCATTAATCGATATGTGAGTAAGGTTAAAATAAATTTTATTTGAATATTTTTTCCTCTGGAAAAAAAAATATATGTCTTCAGAGCAAAGCGGGCTGTGTCGATCAAGCCAAACAAATTTTTGAAAAAATTTTTCAACCAAATGATATTGGATACACATCAATGAGTCTGTTTTTCTGATTTTTTTCTCTGAACAAAAAACAATATCCTATTTTTTTGTTGATAATTAGTTAATTGTTACGGTGTAAGTGAAATGAGTATTCAAGCAATTGAACTTTATCGTAAAATACCAACAGAATAAATTAATGAAATAACACATGTTTGTATTCTAAATGCATGTTCACATTTAGGACTTGTGGATGGAGCCCGTTCAATATTCAAAAATATTCAAATTAAACCAGAGCAAATTTATGACACTATGGTATATGAGAAAGATTATTTTTAGCAATTTGAATAATTTTCTATTCATGTATTAATTTAGATCAATTGTCTTAGTCGTGCATCCTTTTTTGATGAAACACAAGAACTAATTGATGAATATGAATGTTATCATTCACCTGTATCAACCATGTATTGTAAGTATCTTTTGATCAATTGATCGATATCACAATTAAGAGTTAAATATTTTTCTATTGATTTTTAGTTGAAAAAAGATTTAGACTAGATGTTCACTCTATTTTTCTTTAATATTTCGTCAATTGAAAAAAAAACATTTTCCTATTTTCTTGACATGTGAAGACTTTCGTTTCTTTGATAATTTAAAATTTAATTAAGAGCAAAGAGAAATTATATAACTATTTAGTTTTTCATTATGTACATTGATCTTAATATTTAGGATTTGCTTTCATTTCATTGAAAAATCAAGATTTACTAAATAATTTACCTGTTTCATCGATACTTTTTTTTATTCAGTAGTATTGTATGAGAGAAAGGTATTGCTGTAATAGAAATGAGGATATAATTCAATAGTTTATAAGATAGTAACAATAAAATATTAATGTAGGTTTTTACCAATTATTTTACTAATCTTATCAAAATATTCATCTAATGACAAATAACTTTTTTTCATGTTGTTTCATTAAATCAAGAATTTCGTTGACTCCGAAAAATAATTTTTTTTTATTTCGTGCAGACTTGTTTATATTGTTGTTAACTTGTTACATCGTACATTAAGTCGATGATGTCAGCCATCCAATCCAGATGTGAGTGTGTGGAAGTAGAAATGCCTAACACTTACATCGACACTTATACCCGCTAATTGAAAGCTTTTTTCTGGTCTTTTTACTGATGGTAATGTTCATTTTAAAAGTGTCGGATAGTATCATTACTGTTTAGTTTATTTCTTTACTTTCAAGGCAAGATTTCTTCAGTAAAGTGCTGAGATTGTTCAGGAAAAAAACATTGTATCGACGAAAAGGGAAACAAATTCTGCCGATGAAATGAGCTAATTAAGAGAATTTTTGATGAAACAAGACAATACCCAGTATCTAAAAGTATATTTTACAATGGAAAACAAATAAAGAAAAAATCGCTTTGATCGAAGACTTTAAATTTACTCAGTGAATGTCTTAATAAAAAAACGTTTGTTTCTTTCTCGCTAGAGAACTTCTTCAGATGTTTCCTTCCGATATCAGTGTTTTTTTGCTTATAGATATTGCATAGTGTTCTAAGAAAAATCCTAAAAGGATTCGAGTTCCTATTAAAATATGACTAAACTATCGAATTTTTAAGAAAACTATGAAATAGAAGAGATCATTTCAATCAATTGAAATGATTATTTTTTCTTGTATATGTTGGAAGAGAAATAAAAAATTGAGGAAAATTTAAAATTTTCCTACGACAAATTAAAATTTTCTCCTAGAACAACTTGAAATTTAAATTTTTAAGTATTCCTGAGCACGTGATGTAAAGTTCGTATTTTATTTTTGCCAATAGGAAAAATTAAAATATCTTTTACATGTGGCAGAATTGATATAAAATCGCAAGGAAATAATAGAAAAATTAGACAAAACAAATGATAAAGCCAAAATATTGTCATGTAAGATAATTTCGATCCAATCAGCATCACATGATCTAGATACCTATTAATCATGTACAATAACATGTATAATTTTCTCATGGTTTCCAACAATTCAATCTTTTGGATTTATCCAACTGTCACATTCACAACTTACATGATGTCGATTCAACCATATTAACAACGATGACATTTATTCAAGTCTGAAAAGTGTATGTGAGCGAAGGATTAATTACTTCTATCGAAGCATGCAACTGTAATGACACCGATTCAACAAAGATATATCGTTGTCGGACTGCAAAAATACGGTGTGGTACCAAATGGCATTTATGAAAGATGAAGTCATGTTCAAATATTTAGTTTAAATTTTGTATATTTGATATAGAAAACAAAATAAAATTTGTACTATGTGTTCACAAATATTTGAAATTGTTCTAGAGAAAAAAACTGAAGTTTTAATTTATTCTAGAAGATAAAATTTTAAGTTTTCCTTCAAAAAGTCCAGTTACAATTGAAATTTCAAAGTGTTCTAGACAAAAATTAAAATTTTAATTTATATATATAGAAATTTTTCTAATTTTGAACTCTATTGCTGATTGGAAACTAGTGACTTTATTTGACATTTTTTTTAAACATTTTTCTACTTTGAAGTATATGTTAAAACATTGATAAAAAAGAAATCAGTGATAGACTGTCCTTGTTATTTTTTTTTTTCATGTACAATTCTTTATATGTCATCTGACGCGAGAATAATAGCTACAACATTTTTGTGAGAATTATATGTCATTAAACATACCTAACACATTATTATCGAAAAGTAATTTGACTAAATGTTCACTCATCCTTCAATCTCGTAAAAGAGCCTACAGAAATTTGAAAAATATTAGATGAGAATCAAAATTTTGTCTTCTTTCAGAATATCACTTCAAAGTTTTTGTAAGACTTCTATTTTAAAAAATATGAAGCGATCTTTTCAATGTCCGTAAATTGAGTTAAAACGAGTTTCAATGCATCAAAACTTATGCAAAGTAGAAGCGAAAAATATTTCAAATACAGCCAATGAAAGAATAAACATTTCTCTGTAAAATAATTAGTATACTAATGATTAATTCGTAACAAATCATTTGTCAACAGTGAGTGTTTCAGATAAGGAACACTATGGCGATTTGGACGATGTTCTCGATTTCTATTAAAATTCAGACTTGCAAAGTGAGCTCGGTCATCCATGAATGATTGTTCTGAAATTCTTGATTCTTATATCACTTTGTAAAGAACAATTTCACCTTTAATTCTATGCAAAAGAAACGGTAATATAATATATGTAGTACACTAGACAATTGTTGCAAAAACCATCAATTTCCTCCGTCTAAACTTAATTGTTGCGTCTCTTAAAAGTTGATTCATAACTCTTAAACTAAAAATTCAATAGAAAAGTTGAACCTATGATCGGAAACAATAAAAAAGGTTAATTCAAACACAATGTTTTCAAATTTTTATAGGCTTCTTTAAGAAGCTGAAAATAAAGCGAATATTTTGTCAAATTATTTTTCAATTACACCTTACAACAATAGTTAAACGATGACTAGTTGTTCTCATTTGTTTTTCATCATCTTTGATATGTTTATCATTCTTACTAATTCTAATTGTTTTGTGAAGAAAAAAATCTGAAATATAAGAGATACAAAATTTATCTTAATATATATCCCTTTTGTTGAAATATTGATTTGAAAAAAAAAGAAAGCCAGATCGATGTCATTTGTGACTTTGATTGACTATTGAGATTAAAATAAATGTATGCTAACACATAGAAAATACACACAATGAAATTGTTTTTTTTTTGTAATCATAGAAAAAATTTAACTGTCAGGTAAATTGTTATAAACAAAATCTTTTAAAATGTCTAAATTAATTTCATCACGAATTTCAAGTACTTTGTGACCAAATTCTTCAGCAATTAAAATATTTTGTACATCATCATCAAGTAAAAGAATTTCATTTGGTTTAATTGTTTTATTTCGTCGTGTTGCTAATTCAGTAACAACAGATGACAAATGATATTCTTTACCAAGAAAATCTTCATCCATATGTGCAACAAATTCAGGCGTATTACAACGAATTATAATTCGATCTGTTTTACTAAAGAAAAAAAAAAAAAAAAATAGAACATATATTTTCAAAAAAAAAACAACATTCAAACTTACGATGTTTTAAATGCTAATTGAAGTAATTTTCTTATAAGTTGTTCTTGAGATGAAAATGATACAATACAAACATGAAGTGTTTGATTGAATGCTGATGAATCAAGAATTTCATGAATAAAGTAATGAAATGTTGATCTTATATAACCTAATAAACTATCAACTGTTCCTTGATAATAACCATTTGTATGTATTGATAAAAATGTATTATCAAAATCAATAGCAATTAGTTTTATATTTTTACGTTGTAAACCTAATACAATATCTCGAGCTTTAGCACGTTGTTCAGCAAGATATTTTGATGTATTTATACGTTGTGATAATAAAGATGTATTTTTATCTATTAAACTTACATTTGAATGACGATTGTGATTTTTCAATCTCATTAATGATATAAGTGATGATGATGATTGAGATCTTTTATTCGTTATTGGTGATGATGATGTTGTTGTTATTTTATTTGACGATGTACCTTTAGTTATTCGGGACATATCTGAAATTAGAATAATCTTAATCTTTTATCGTAAGACATAATTAAACGATGAAGATACAAATATGTATGACTCCGAGTAAAAGAGACAATAGACCAAACATTGCTTACATGGTTACAAACATATTAGTCTATGTAGATGAAGGTAAATGTAGAGGCGATGTTTGTATGCAATATGCATACTTCTTCTCTTTCTTTAGAGAGAATAGGCAAAGGTATGACAAACATATGCACATCAACCTAAAGCTCATTACAATCGGTAGCCTACATACGTATATATACAACTTTTTATTCATCAGAGAGACATACAAGGTT